ATTTGTGTGTTCATTATCCAAGTAGTACCACTCTGCCCTCAACACCACATATTATGCTACTGCTGTTCACCATGCATCAGAAGCAAGAAGCCATTCGTGTGTTCTTTATCCATAACAGCATCACTCTGCCCTCAACACCGCATATTATGCTACTGCTGTTCACCATGCATCAGAAGCAAGAAGCCATTCRTGTGTTCCTTATCCAAGCAGCATCACTCTGCCCTCTACACCACATATTATGCTACTGTTGTTCACCATGCATCAGAAGCAAGAAGCCATTCGTGTGTTCTTTATCCATAGCAGCATCACTCTGCCCTCTACACCACATATTATGCTACTGTTGTTCACCATGCATCAGAAGCAAGAAGCCATTTGTGTGTTCATTATCCAAGTGGTACCACTCTGCCCTCAACACCGCATATTATGCTACTGTTCACCATGCATCAGAAGCAAGAAGCCATTCGAGTGTTTTTTATCTTTCATGCATCCAAACCCAGCAACATACCTAGATATATGTAGATACCTAGATACTAAATTATAATTGGTTAATCCCTACTTGAAATTCTTATGTGCTGCTCTCTCATTATTGGCTGCTTATCATTATTCAAATCAGTCAGCCTGGGAAAAAGTTGGGTTTAAAAGTTTCTTTTCAATGATGCTCTGGTATATTTTCTGAACACAATAAAATTCTTGTGATTAATGGTTGATTTTTGCCAGCTGGTTTGAATCAGTACTCCAGTGCTGTTGTGGCTATGATGTAGGGCTGTACTCTTGATAATTTTTTTAAGATATGTGCAGTGTTACGTGCATCATCTGTAATATACAACAAATAGCAGAAATCCAATTTATTTATGAAAGACCATTTGTTATTTGGGGGGGGGGGGGGGGGGCTTGGGATTCAGTTGGTAACTAGTAACTTACACAAGAAATCCTTCCTCTAAAAAATTTTTTTCTATTCTTTTCATTGTAAAATTGCTGTTCAACTAAATTTGCCTGTTTTCGAACCTAATTCTCTTTCAAGGACCTGTTTTTGTTTGATGACCCCCCCCCCCCTCCCAATTTCCACCATTTGCCCCCCTCCCCCTGCAGAAAAAAAGTAAAAGTTCCCTAAGCATATTCTACTGTCTCTAATGGGTATTGTTATTAAGTAATTAAACACCATTAGAGAGTGCACACACTAAACCTGTGAATAATATTTAGTACTAATTAGTAGTAATTCATTCATTTCCTATTGTTTGATAATCACTATTTAGTACTAAAAATTAGTATTTGTTTCACGGGTTTAGTGCGAGCACTCTAATATTGTTGTTATGATAAGTAATGAGATATTGTTATTAAGTAAGAAGACAGACCATTGATATCCAGACCCTGAATGATCTTTCATAAGAAATCATATTTATTTTAGTCTGTCTTCACATATTGAAACTTTCAGGACACTGGGTCGACTGACATGATCTTTTAAGTCATTAACATAATAAATTAATAAATTGGATTACCAATGCCACTATGATGTCTGTTACAATATTAGCTTACGCAGTTGTAATTAGATACTTAGAGAAGTGATTGTTTGATTAAAGAGGCATAACTATTTCCCCACCAACACGAACACGTCTTGAAACAATGTCTACCAACTGGCCTCAAGTTAAGCTCATTAAGCATTCGCTGCAATCCTACACACTTCCCTCTGCTTGTCAGTGAGTGATAAACCTGAATTTCAACACACAAAAAGATGTGGTAGATTAATAGTTTATTAATATATTAGAACAAAAAATGTGATTACAAAACCTGCATTAATGTACTCACTGTTTGAATATCAATCCACTTGTTAAAGTATGAATGGCAAGGTATTCTGAAATATTCACATTGACTTGGTAACCTATAGAAAATCAAAGACATTCTTATATTTGTTTAAAAAACTACATGCATAATACACTCAATTGAAGAATCGTTGTCGGGTTCAGAAACATAGAACATAGTAGCTGAGACTGAAATGGCACATGGGAAGTACGTTAATTAGATGCATGCTGCGACCGGCGACCCGTGGCATCATCCATTGTTTTTAATACGCGTTTGGCAATTATTCTAAATCGACTGCATGGATGGCGCAAATGAATAAATTATAATATAATTATGTCATTTCCCATAGCCATTTCGGTCTCGGCTTTTATGTTCTGTGTTTTGAGTGAACCCCACAACGATTCTTCAATTGAGTGCATATGCACCTGACATGTATATTGGTGGATCCAATAATAATTGGACCAAAATGCAGGTAGGTCTTATGAATACATACATTCTCTTTAGATCACAGCTTCCAAATGTGACAAAGCATGAAGTAACTCCATTCTTTAACAAGCCTTCATCTCTCATCCACATATGAAACAACTGAATGTAAATTATTAACTTTTGTTAATTGTCCTAGCTATTGTACTTACTAAGTAATGTGTTTATTTTATGGGGGAATAAGCTYGTAGGATTATCTGTTTACTAGTATCCCATAGTATATCATATCAATATTTTCATGCACAATGTCAATCTCTTAGTGCTTTTGATCTTTATTGTCAGCTGTTACCACTGTTTTCACAGCTACACGCTGATGGAGACAATTAACAGTYGCAACAGGGAAAAAGGGCAATACGCTGCCACCAATCAGAGAGTATAAAGGTACAGACCAATTTATTTGATTGACCGAAGTTAATTACCCAATTTCTCTGTCACGACTGTTGTCTCAATCAGCGCATAGCAACAAAAAGAGTGGTAATATAAAGGTTATCTATATCTACCTACCTCTTCTCAATTAACTGTTGCACAATAAATGGCCCCTCCCTCATTTCCATTCTGTTAAATATCATGAACGGCCTGTGTGACTCAGGTTGTTTTTCTTGTCTGATTTCTTTAATGAATCCCGCCCCCAAATACCACCACCCACCCCCTTCCCAGAAAAATATGAACAGTCTCTGTCGATGATCAGCTGAGTAGCATGAACTTTCTTAGTTGACTAATTATATCCATGTATGTATTATGTTCATATAATTACCTGCAAAGTTGTTCTTAGGTCTGGCTTATCAATTAACTTCTCTGTACTAATTCCTGTAAGCTGAAAGCATTTTCTTTCTTTTATTATACTTTCTTTATACAGAATCATGCCCTAATACTAGTATGATCAGCAGCTACTGAGGGCATATTCTGCCGGTAGGGAAACAATATAAACTCACACTTTATAGGGGTTTTTTGGAAGGTAAACCATATCTCATCTCTGACTTGGAAAAGGGAAAGATTTGCTAAAGCGTCACTATAAATATGAATTGATGTAGGTAGCGAAATTCCCCCAGGGTTTTTCCCCTATTTGCGATGTACTGGGTATATAACATAGTATAACCTAGTATATTATATTTCCAATTTACTGGGTATATATAGTATAATCTAATCATTTATATATTTTCTTACCTCAGTACAAAATGAACTCAGGTGTGGGTGAACGACTGGTCTGACAAACTGATGGAATTCTGCTTCTGTTTGGAATGTTTTGGAATTGACTTTCAAGGCGAATTCAATGATCTCCTAAATATCAAAAATCTACAATCAGTAACACACATATTGTAATTACTTAACAAAGTGGAGTTTTTCGCTTTGTATTTGAGAAAGAAACAATCATGTATTGAAAGTTAACACTTAATAATAACGAAATAAACTGCAGAGTGTAAAAAATAGCTTTTTTATGTTTTACTTCCGGTACACTAGTAAAGATAGTTTACCTGTGGTTTGAGCGATCTCTCCTTTTTTGAATCCCAACACGTAGCTTCAAAATCAAGTACCAAATRATATTGATATGCTGCCCGAGGTAACCGATGATCCATACTCAAAGAACTTCTTTTCAAACTAAATCGAATGTAATCTTTTTGACAATCAAAACAATACTGTGTAGCCTCGTGAGGATGTAGGTAGAGTAGTCCTGGGTAATACACCTTCGAGTCAGTCACATGTAAAATGGCGGCCAAGTAGTCTTGTTAACAAATCTTTCAAATCCATGGGTTTTGGACGAAAATAGAGCAAGAAATCTTCAACTAGTAGTGTATTTCAGTTCCCTAACAAACACTTTATTTAATCATACCTTAAAGTTTTAAGCTAAATATGAAGATAACAGCGGATCTTATTCTGCAATGTGCTCAATATACAAATGCTGTCAAAGACAGAGAACTTGACCTTAGAGGTACGTATAACAAACTTGCCTTGAGTTTTGTCTATGCCTAAATAATGAAATCTTTAATTGATGTATATCAATGTATGTATATAAACCTTTCTCTGACACGAGATATCATACTGTATATATGTATCAGTCTATAGAGTATGTAAGCTAGATCATAATGTTCTGATATAATTATTTTATTCATGTTTTATTTGTTCAGGATACAAGATATCCGTCATAGAAAACATGGGAGCTACACTGGTAAAGTATTATGTTGTGTATTCATTAGAAATGCCTAGCTTTGGAGGCCTAAAATCCTCATCTTCATTCTCCTAGTCCAATGTGTTAACCACTACTCTAATAATGCCAATAGTCCCTTTACTCATTCCCTAAATACTGCTGTGTTTTATGACTGAAGACTCATCTCCACAGGCTTAGCCTCATTTAAGAGCAAACCATTTGCAAAAGCCAACAAAAATGTAAAGAATGTGCAAGTTAAACAATTTAATACCATGGTTTTGAAATCTCACAGACTTTTAATGGTATCTGTGAAAAGCTGACTTCCAAACAAGGCTAAGCCATTGCCATCCGGTGACCACCCTCCGGGGCTACATCTCATACTAACCACCTCTTGTTCACAACTCATTGTAAAGCGCCTTTGAAAATATGCATATGGAAAAGAACGCTATATATATAGATATCATTAAGCCTGTGCAATTGAGTCTGGTCTTCAAAAACAGCAGTATGCATTGAAGCGAAACTGGCATATTGCGCTAAAAATGGTTCTGGATGACAAAATACTGTATAGGCTTTAGGGTGCCAGGGTATTGTGTGTTCAGTAGACATCAACATGAGAAACCAAGCTGTTTTTGTGACATAAAAGTTGACAAATGTTGTGAAACATTGTTATGAATAACACAAATTAACATACCTACCCTCATCCTATCCTGCATTTTTGTCAAGTCTCTGTTGAAGTCTAATCCATGACACTACATACAGTGTATGCGTGTAAGCCTCATGTTAACTAGAAATATTGCATGTGGTATTCTACTAATCAGTAGTTTTAATAATATTACATGTTATCAATTCTAGGATCAGTTTGATACCATTGATATGTCCGACAATGACATTCGCAAAATAGAAGGCTTTGCTCTGTTGAAAAGATTAAAAACATTGCTCTTTAACAGCAACAGAATATGGTAAGTAAAGATACCAACCTAAATGTTCAAACAATCTGATTGTTGAATTTAAAATAATTCTTGAGATGGGTGTTTTGGTTGTTAGCCAATTTGCATGATTGTTCACAAGAGTAAGTTCTACATAATGTTGTTTTAGTTTTGAATTTGCTATTTGGGTTAAACGTTTCTTGTTGGGGCTCATTGTTGTTACTGGGCTAACATTCTGTAATATATACTGTACTATCTGAAGTCACTGGAAGATAAACCAATGGCACAATGTTCAATGAATGATGAGGTAAGGTAGTGTTTTACACACCAGCACTGGCGTCACCCAGAACATGGTGTATAGTAGGTTTCTTATGGTGTATGGGGAATGGTGTATGGGGAATGGTGTATAGTGTATGGTGTATAGTGTATGGAGGTTGGTGTATGGGGAATGGTGTATGGGGAATGGTGTATGGTGTATGGGGTATAGTGCATGTTTGTATGGAAAAATGCGTAATGCCAGTCATGATGACAGGGCAAATTAGTTTTAGTTCATTCATACCTCATTTCTGGGTCAATGTTACTGGTCAAAATAACCATAGCAAGGCAAATATTTAACTGGACAAGTTCCAGTCCTTGGCGTACATTACCCAATAACCCGGCCATTATTTTAAGCCTTGTTTAATCAGTCAATTAGATGTATTTAATAAACTTTACTAATTTTTACGGAAAAGTGATTTATGTAGTTTCAATGGTGATCTACAAGCGTTTGATCATTATTTCATTTGTTGACTGTCTTATAGTCGCATTGCAGAAGGCCTTGAAGAAAGTCTGCCGAACCTTGAGTCATTAATCTTGACCAGCAATGCAATGCAAGATTTGGTATGTAGTTTAGATGAGGAATCATAATAATATTCAGTTGTGGATGCACATGGGAGGTATTGTATTGTTAGGCAAAATGTCATTTTTGACTAGTTTGGAATCAAGTTCTATCGGTCTTGTTATTCCTGCTAGATGTTTTACGACCATCAATGATATGATGACATGTATTAATTTCTTTGCTTCTGGTGAAATTTTAAATCTTGGCAACAAATCTAAGGTAGATTTTGAAAGCTGCAATGGCTACCAGTTGGACATTCAAAAAGTCATAATGTTACAAAGAGAATCTCTTTGTCAACCTACTTGCTGTGTTATGAAAGGAAGGAAACTTTGGGAACTTGAGGACTTTCACTTAGAGCATGGAAGAGTTTGGAGAACGATTAAGGAGAACAATGTAAACGATAATATAGCCAATATGCAGTGCATGGTAGTTGATGGGGATTCTTACCGCCATTTGCATTGCTATGCGGCCACCCCAGACAAAAATCGCAACATCCAATAGCCCTGCCATCAATCAAACACGTTGACATCATTTACATGCATGTGTGATTCAAAAGGTGCCAAAACGTGTCGATTGCTTACAAGTATTATGAGCCACACTCACCAGGCCTACTGGGCCGATCCAAACGTGTGTAAATGACATCAACGTGTTTGATTGACAGCAGTCTACTGCAAAGTGCCAACACGATTTTTGTCTGGGGTGGCCACATAGCAATGCAAAAGGTGGTAAGTCAAAACTTAGCCCTGAAATAAGTAGATCATTGAGTGTCATTTTCAAAAAATTCACAGATATTATAGAATTGATGATTAACTTTCTTTTGTTTTTCATTTGTTGATATACAGAAAGACCTTGAGCCTTTGAAATCAATAAAGACTTTAAAGTATCTAAGGTAAATCAATTGTGTTGAGTAGCAAAGATGTGGTTATCACATCGATCGGATGCACAACTATATACTACATGAATGTGTTTGAGGTTAATCTGTACTGTTTTTTTCTTCTAGTTTGCTCCGGAATCCTGTAACTAACAAGCCATACTACAGATTATTTGTCATTCACAATATACCTCAGCTTAGAGTCCTTGATTTTCAAAGAATCAAAATGAGGGTAAGATATTGTTTGGAGCGGTGGAGCTGTCTGTAGGTGCTGCCCACAATAATGTGGAGCATGATTAGCCCCACATGGTTTAGATTGAAAAAGCCAACAAAATAAATGTTTTTCTTATTGTGTCTTGTTTCTCTTGGAACCTAAAGGAAAGAGAAGCAGCCAAAAGAATGTTCAGTGGAAAGAAAGGACAAGCTGTTACATCAAAGAAACCAAAAACGTAAGTTATTAAGTTCCTATTCCCCAAACACCATTCCCCATACACTATACAGCATTCCCCATACACTATACACCATTCCCCATACACTATGCACCATTCCCCATACACTATACACCATTCCC